AAATTAGGCACTCAAAAGGTGCACGTGTGGCTATATGTACCCTTACTGTAATTGAAAAACATAACTATCTAATAAAAAGTTCTCCGGCCAAAGAGGTCACCTTAATACTGAAAAAAAAATAAATAAATAAAAAGTGTATGATATATGCTAGAGTGACTCTTTTCCAGAATAGTTTCATCAGTATTGTGATAACTGACTCCTAAATTATTGAATTAATCTGGATTTCTTTACCATATTGTGACCATCAGTTGGGGAGCAATTATGGATATTAATCCAATTTAGCTTCGATGGTTTACTTAATTTGGTATTTGCACATGATGTGATGCCATGAAACTCTTAAACTGAGTACTCATATATAGCTTAATTTAAAGTTAACTTATGGCAATAATAATTAGTTTATAAAATTAGTATAGTAAAGGTCTAGCCAATAAAATTGCCGAATTTAAGTTTGTGTAACTTCTACTTTTAAATGACCAAATAGTAAATGACTTGGTCATTATTTTGGTCATTTGGTCATTTGGTTATTTAAAATCAAATGACTAGTCATTTGCTAACACTGCTATATACTGCTATCTTCAACACACCACTACTTTTTTCTCTAAAACACTCTCTCTAATTTTGGAGGGTCCAGGATTGCTTTTTCTTCTTTTTCTAGACTTTTTTTTCTATATAAATGCCTGTGACAACTTTTAGAAGTGATTTTGAGCTCCTAGACTACTTTGTCTTGACTCTATTACATTAAGTCTTTGAAGAATTTGCTCAAGAATATGTTTTGGATATTCTCTTTTTGCTCTTGCATGCTACTCTTAAGATCTTTTTGCTTTTCTGTTATTAATATTTTTCTTGTCAACAAAGTCTCTCTTTGATAACTTGAGGCTCCCTTGATACTGCACAAAATGTTTTCTTTCGTTCTATTGTTTTTCAAAAGTAGTATGTTTCTCTTGTTTAGTTATAGTTCTACAGCTAAACTTCTATAGGTAGCTACTTTGTTAGCCTTCATTTTTTTTCTCTTATTCGCTATAAATTCTGTCTCTTTTTTTTGTTTTTTGTGATTATGATCTTTTAACCTGTTATTATATTTGATCTGCATCTCTTTGCCTTGGTTGCTTGTATACTCAATATGTCTGCCTTGACCTGGTTGTGATACTTCACCATCTTTGTCATGCAAAATCTGTACAGAAAATCTATTTTCACCAGCTTTGGTGTATATTTTCTATTTCAATTTGGTACTGTAATAATTAAAAACTGACCTTTGTGTATAAAGCAAATTCTCTTCGGATTTAAAATACATATGTGCTCTTCTGCACTGATTATCATTACTGTTGTTTAATATATGCACAGCCTGTACTTTGTATTTCTTTAGCTATTTGAGAAGTAAACTGTCATTGCCGATGTTGGTATATTACAGATTGTACTTTTGTATTTGTTTCACTCCTCCAATTCTTTAATATTGAACTTCTCAGATGTTGTTTAGTAAGTTTTACCCCAATCTAAATATATCAACCAATTTTTTTTTAATAAGTTTTCTCGCTTTTCTATACTTGATATGATCTTGATAAAAGCCACTTTGGTAGCGAAGTTGTGTTGCTATGCCAAAATTGTTGCTACTTCAAAGTATTTAAGGAATCTCTTAATTTTTTCACTACTTATATCTCTTGGGAAGTCTCATAATATAAAGAAATATAGTGATTCATGTGTATACTTTTTTGATATATATTTATCTCTCAGAGCCTATTTTGAATTGTAAATACCTTCTTGTTTTTTGGGTCTTTTTTGTTGCTCTCTAATTTTGTATTACTATTTGTGTTCTTGACTAAAGCTTTTCAAAACTACAATCCATTGTACTAGCTTCATTTTGTATAAGTATGTCTATTCTTGTCTCTTGTTTGTCTTCAGCTGAGTTACTATTATTTTCTTGCTCTGCCAGATTTTTTTTACGAGAAGTACTATTGCTATTACAAGTTGAATTATTGCTATAGTCTTCGGATATAACAACTGATTTCATATAGTTAACTTCCATATCTATGGGATTTAACTCTAGTTTAATGGTTTTTTCCTGTATTAACTCTATACTACTATTATACTTGAGTAGAATTTGTTCTTCATCAGATATTGTGTTTTGTTTAGACTCCTTGCTTTGGTCCCAACTATACCTTTTTCAACCTTCTGTATAATTGTTATAAGATATATATCTTTTGTATCTGGAAACTCTGCAATGTGATTGTCCTGTTTAAATATAAGTGAGTTCTGTTCTTTGTATAAAGCAAGTTTCTCCTCTTTGGTTTGATTAAAGAAATTTCTATACTTCTGAAGTGCTGGTATTGCTTTTATTATGTGATTTGTATATCAAAATAGTATCTATTATTGCTTTGTAGATTTAATTTGAGATTTAATTCTGACACATGTTTTACATATTTTTATATAACTTTTACGTATTTTTATGTAATGTGATGCTTGTAGAGCTTGTGTACTACCATATAGTCTTGCATGATAATCTTGTATTGCACAAAAATTTACACTACAGGATCACTACTATTTTTTTTAAAAGTAAAGAAGTGAGTAATTTTTCTAAAAAATTAAAGCACTTTTGAGATTTAGTACTTCTATGTCAAAAAATATTGTGCTTGATATTCTGTCTAGTATTTCTTTTTCTCTCAAGATAGCTTTTAATACTGTAAAATATTCTGTTTGGTTTTGCTATGCTTTGTTTCTAAAATCACTCTAATTGTGTTTTTGGGTTTTTATTTTTTCTCACTTGTGAGTTGACTGAGTAATACAAGACTACTTTGTATATACATTTTTTTTTCTATTTAGTTGTATTTAGTACTGTTGTTTTGTCTTGTATATTGGTAAATCAAAACCTTTTCTTCTCACTAATTTTTGTGCCAAGTGATCGTTGGGGAGAGTAAATTTTTTATATATATTTTCAAATATTAGATTAATGATATATATATGTATATTAAAATTATTAAATTTTTATTATCCAAACCTAGGGTATAAATATTAACACATGAAAAGAGGTGTAGTAGTGGTCTAGTCGTCACTCTCTCCAAGTGGCAAGTTTAGAGTTCAAATCCCATGGATGATGATTTTGAAAAATAGACCTGTGTGCGTTAATAGTGATCTATCGGTTGGATCTAGATCAATCTGTAACTCTGGTTACACCATTTAGTAATAGAAGCTTCAGCACAATAAATTTAGGGGATCGAGAAAACTGAAAACCTGTTTGGCAAGTCCTGAGTTGGAAGATAGCAGTGATCTTTGATGGTACCACAGAAGGGCTGAATTTGGACTAAGAACCGAGATTGGAGAACCGAGTGACCAGGTTCTAAAAATAGCAAAAGACACACTAGCTGAATCGCCAGGTTGTCATACTACAGAAAAAGGACATATGCTCTGAAAGTATAAACCAAGAGGAGGGTATCCTTCAGGCACCTAAAGCCTGAGCAGACTGACCCTTCCGAGTTGCCAGCTAGAAGTAATGGAGAGACTGATAAAGAATTCGGGTAAAGAAATGATCCAAATGTGGGTATCAGGGTTGTTGTGAACTGAACAAGGGCAGTGAGTACATAATGGGTACCTAATTAGAAATGTTAGTACTTAAGAAATGTCTGTAGAATGGCAGCACCTTAAAAGGTGGTATGAGATATATATATAAAATAGCAGGCCAATATGTACTAATTAGGAAGAAGTTATAAGAACATGCAGGTGAATACATGTATAGAATGTGTACCGCTTTGTTAGGTTTACCTCAAGGATAGACTAGCTTAAGTTAGTAAGTCCTAAAGATAGAATGCAAAATCCAAATTGGGTAGAAGCAAAATCTACATATAAATAGTGAGTAATATTCATGGGTTAGAGAATAGGGTAGTAGTTAGAACTAGATAGTTTAAATAGGTACTCCCATAGTTGAAATACAGGTACAGCAGATAGTGTGAAACCCTTAGCATAGCACTAATGCCTTAGGCAGATCACTTAAATTAGACACCAAAAGTGTATATATGGCTTGATATACCATCATTGTAATTATATTATAAAGCATGTAATAACTCTAATAAAAAGTCTCTAGGCCAAAGAGATCACCTTAATACCAAAAAAAATAAAATAAAAAAAAATAAATATTAACACATGATCCATAATTTGAAAAATTAGCTATTTGATCTGATTTATTAGAAGCAGCAACTGTAATAGCTAAAGGAGTAGTGTCTGGAGTTACTAAGTATGCATCACTATAATTATTGCTAGCTGTAGCTACAACATGAATACCATTATCAGTACATTCTTTGACTAATTTAGCTATAGCTTCAGAATAAGCACCACCAAAAAACATGCTAAAATAATAATAGATAACTTAATTACTAACAATTTTCTAGAATTATTAATTTGTCACAAGTAATATAAGAAGATATTTTACTTGATAATACTGTTTTTATTTGTATCATTTTTGTGAGCTTCAATCATATAATTTACACTTTTTAGAAGTGCAGAATCTTCAATATATTTCAGATTTACTAATTTTAACATTAATGATATTTGCTAATTTTGAAACACCATACATTGTTCCTAAGTATAAGCAATAAAAAAGGCATGAATTTAAATAGATGAAATGAGATTAAATAATTTGAAATATACAATATAATACCTTACTTATCTGCAATCTATTATTTTAAAATAATTGTATATTTACATGTCAATAAGATAATTTCTAAATACATTATATATATATATATATTGCACTTTGAATTGGAATTTGCCCCAATTCTGAGTTTCAGATACACAGGCTGAGGTTATCAGCTTGCCCAATATAAAAAGTATTATGAATTCTTTTTTAACAAATGCTCTATGACAACTATGGCAAATTTTTATCTAAAGCTAATAATCTCAAATTCGGGTAAATATTTTTTTATATTAGATCAATGATTTTGTGAACATGAGTATCTGTTTATTTAATTTATTAGTAGAATTCAGTGAACAATGGTATTATGATCAATAATTTTGTAGACATGAGTATCTGTTTACTAACTTTTTTTTTAATTTATTAGTAAAATTCAGTGGACAATGGTATTATGCATGTGCTTTGGGTGAGCAAAAGTTGCGAGAATATTTCAAGGGCATTTGTAAAACTACAGATATTCAAATTAAAACCCATAATATCTCAAACCATTCTAGAAGAAAAACCACTATGCAATTGTTAAAGAAGCTTGGGTACTCTAATTCAGCTATAATATTAATTACGAGGCACAAATCTCAAAAAGGTCTCACTATATATAAACACCCAAAATCAGTAATGCAGTATGAAGGTCTCAATAGATTTTTTAATTTGTTGAAACAAGTTTCAAAAAGTAAAACATATATTAGTTTGATTTTTATTATTTTGAATATTTGACTAATACTTTACTTAAAGCCTCTGATGACCATGATGATAATGAAGCCTCTAGTGACTATAATAAAGAAGAAGCCCTCAGTGACCATGATAATTCTAAATGTTGTTATAAGGTGGCACCATTATTTGGTAATTTTGCATTTGCAAGTTTGTATATTCGATAAACTGATTCCCAGGTTTCATTGATAAATGCATTCAATGATCTTGAAGTATTCCCTGATGAATCAAGTAATATACTGGCCGAGCATGATAAAAACGTTTCTGAAAAGAATAGGAAAAAAAAGGAAGATAAAGGTATTAGAGAATTTAAAAAATAAAGATTTTTCTTACAGGAAATACTTTTAACAATTGCACTTTCAATTTTTAGAATTTAAAATGAAAAAAATACATTTGTATTAAAAATTTGTATTTGCATTGTAAATTCAATTTGATTGTTTGCATACATAGTATAGTTGCCCAAATTATGAGAAATTTTGGCCTAAATATTGCATTTTTGCTGAATATAATTGATCTGAGTATTGTGCAAATTTTGAATATTTGGCAATACATTATAAACCGTTAAAAAAATAACAGTTAGTTGCTGTGCCATAATCATATGAGTTTGTCAGATAATACATATTATATGAGTGCAGTCAAAGGAAAACCTACAATCGGGCTTTCAAGTATATTATGTGTATCTGTGTGTCATCTATAGTAAATCTATAGATTTACCATAGACGGCACACAGATAACCAACTATATACAAAATATACTTGAAAGCCCGATTGTAGGTTTTTCTTTGATGGTATACATATAAACAAACAACCAAAATATCTTAGCATTTGTTTAGCAAATGAATTTATACCTTATATTTATATTTTCAAATCAAACAGTTTATCATGGATGGTTCCCATTTTTTGTGCTATTTTATTATTCATAAATGTGCATACATGTTTTCACCCCAAATTTGATAAAATAGAAACTACAGAGATTAATTTCCATCTAAAAAAAAAAAAATCTAGATCCTGTAAGTAGTGAATAAAATTTAAACCCAAAACTAGGTATGCATTGCACACTAAATTTTAAATTTCAATATGCACATTGCATATTTAATTTTAAATTTAATGTTTATATACTACACAGGTAATTAAATACAATGTGTGCCTTGTAAATTATAAAAATACTAAATAGCACTATATGCAATATTATATAACAGATTTTAAGAATATTTTGATTATAGTCAATTACAATTATCAATTAAATTACAAAAAATTAATTAGTTTAATTAATAGAAAATTACTAAATATACATAGGGTGTTTGAAACACGGGTATGATTTATAATTAATTTTTATTAAAAAATATAAGTAAACATTAAATATTTTAATTAATATTAGTGTTAAAATTGGAGGTTATAGTTAACAAAAGACATAGTTTATAGTAAAATTTTACAAGGAATTTTTTTTCTTAGACCTCAAAAGATGGTTTTATAAGCTAAATTTTTAGATATCATTATTTTTTTATTTTTTCTTTATTTTTGTTGTACAAAAAATGATCTACATACTGCATTTAATTTTATATTTTAATTGGCTTTTCTATTTAGTTTGTGTAACTATGTGTTTAAACACCCCGTGTACAAATAGTAATTGTCTAATTAATAATACCATATAGTTCTGAAATTAAGCATTACTCCCTCTATCCCAATTTTTGAATTTCAGATTAGCAGAATTTGTAATAGGATCTTTGGCAAAATTACTCCGCTAATCTAAGATTCAAAAAATTGGGGTAGAAGAGGTGGCAGTGCTTAATTTCAGAACTATATAATATATAGTTAGAAATTTCTTAAGAATTAATTGCTTATTATATTTAATATGTAAAATATGAAAAAATAATGCTTGAACGACCTTTATCAATAGTAAATTTTTGAAGAACAAAGGTGGTTTGTATCTCGCTTAATTGTTCATCGAAATGGTAACTTATTTGGTTAATTTATTTAATTTTCTGACTAATTAAAAATTTACTTCTAATCCATTGAGTGAAGTGCTTAAGAACACCCTTACTCAGTACAGCAATATTATTAAATTTTCGTTTGTATGTTTATTCAATATGCTTTGCATGATTAGTTTGTATGAAAGAACACTTCTGTTGAGCAATAAACCTTGGCAATAAATATTAAAAAATAACTTCCAGCGCATGAGCAGGCATAAAACTTGTTATTATTTTTTTTTTTTCTCTTTAAGATGACCTCTTTGGTCGGTGAATTTTATTATAGTTAAATCAGAGTTAGTAGTATTTACAATGATTTTAACTATATATATTACAACCCGCCTTA